CATTAATCTAACCATACCAACATGGTTAACATGGTTTTCGTTTTTGCATGCAACAAACCAAAAAGTCCAATTAGGCTTGACAGTTTCAGCACACACACGTTTACATGCAACCGAATAATCTGTTTGATGGCTCAATCAGAATGAAAAGCTGAATGTAAACACCTCAATCCATCCTACTGAGCTTGATCCAAATTAAATTTTGATTGTATTGGAAGGACTGGTCAATAGGAACCCAATCAACAGAAAAAAATTAAGCAAGTAAATGCTTGAAATCAATTCGGATTGAAAAATATGTTCCGCACTTGTGCAGTGCAGTGATCCGTATGTTTACATACAATTTACTTCATGAACGTATGTATGTTTACTTCCGTCTTACAAACTGTTCATTGTGAATAAATTGCTATGCGGTGTATAGCATGTTGCCATGCAGTTGCTAGGGTGAAATGGTTGACAGTGCATTGCTATGTGGTTGCTGGGGTGATTAAGGGGTTGATAGTGCGTTGCTATGTGGTTGCTGGGGTGATTAAGGGGTTGATAGTGCGTTGCTATGCAGTTGCTGGGGTGATTAAGGGGTTGATAGTGCGTTGCTATGCTGTTGCTGGGGTGATCTGAATGTTGATAGCGCATTGCTATACGATTTCTGGGGTGATTAAGGGGTTGATAGTGCGTTGCTATGCGGTTGTTGGGGTGATTAAGGGGTTAATAGTGCGTTGCTATGCTGTTGCTGGGGTGATCTGAATGTTGATAGCGCATTGCTATACGATTTCTGGGGTGATTAAGGGGTTGATAGTGCGCTGCTATGCTGTTGCTGGGGTGATCCGAATGTTGATAGCACATTGCTATACGATTTCTGGGGTGATTAAGGGGTTGATAGTACGTTGCTACGGTTGCTGGGGTGATTAAGGGGTTGATAGCACGTTACTATGCAGTTGCTGGGGTAATCTGAGTGGTTGATGATGTGTTGCTATGCGGTTGCTGGAATGATCTAAGTGGTTAATTGTCAGTAATTAGTAACTGAATATGTACTAAATATTTGCTAAAAAAAACACTTCTGACATATCAGCTGTTTTTAGATGTGTCATCAAATGCAAAAATGACAGTGTTATACTCACAGTGAAGTCATCGCACATAAGTTTTGTTCGAAATACAAGAACTGCATGTGTAAACAAACATGTGAATCGGATTTCAAAACATTTAGAATCTGAAATTGGAATAGATCTGATTGAAAATTAGTGCTTGTAAACAGCTATTGTGCATTATGAGTGTACTTGGTAGGGGTTTTCAATCGTCATGAGATGTTTTGAAGTTATGCTAATTGTAGAAAATAGAAGCGTCTCTCTCTTCGTTCAATAGCCTCTGTTCATTGTGGCTGGCACTTGTAGGCGGTTTGCATTCAGAGAGAAATATTTGTGTGAGATGTTGAGCAATTTGTATGTTTCTATGTATGTGTGTGTGTGTGTGTGTGTGTGTGTGAGATTGTGTGTGTGTTTGTGCGAATGCCAGTCCATTGGTCTTTCACACAGGGTCTTTGTGCTTGAAAAAAAGGCAGAACAGAGCTACTGTAACCTCTTGGTCATGATACACAGAAGGGTCACACACACTTGGATGGTCCTATCACCAACATTTGTCTTTGTGACATGAAAACATCCAACATGAACTTAAACGTCTTCTCTACACACAGTAGGGCATCATAACAAGTACACTGCTCTGAAATAGCCCATCGATTTAAAACGCCCAAGAGAACATCACCACAACCGCTCCATAAACACTGCTAGCATCATTAATCTCAAATGCTAACATAAAAATCCCTTTCCACTACTGAGAGAAGGTCTCAGATGTTCATAAATGCACACAAATGCACAAAAAAAACGTGGGCTTTTAGACTTCTAAAGCTACCACTTGTTGCCAAGTAGTTCTGAGCAGTAGCAATGGGTATTCTGAGTGTTGCTATGAGGTTGCTAGGGGCGGGCAATATGAATAGTGGATATTGCGCTACTGGGGTGATCTGAGTGCTTGATAGCACGTTGCTATGCAGTTGCTGGGGCAATCTGAGTGCTTGATAGCGCGTTGCTATGCAGTTGCTGGGGTGATCTGAGTGCTTGATAGTGTGTTGCTATGCAGTTGCTGTAAGACAGTGATTTTAGTATGTTACTATATGGTTGCTAGAGTGTTTCTCTGCTGTTCTTTTTGGTTGCTAGGGTTTCTCTAACTGTATTCAGAGAGATAGAGAGAGAACAGCATGAAAGTGATTTGCATTTTTACGCATTTCCTGATACAGAAGCTTCAGTTCTCAAAAACAGTAAATTAAGTGGTTTTGGGTGGAGTCCCATCTGTCTGTCACATTCAAAGTCCCACCCACAAGTGACAGCTGGAATTTGAGTCACTTTGACTGGAAGGATGACACACACATACTCTCATGTTCATCCTGTGTGATCTCAGCCACACAAACTCACTTTCTAGCTTTGCTGATGTGTGCTGGAAACTCAAGAGTCCAAGCTGACACAAGACAAACCACCCTGGTAACTAGCCTCCAAGAACAGTGATGAAATTCACTAAGATCACAATTCATCCACTCCGATCCATCAGAATCAAATTCACTGATTAATAATTAATTAGTCATTGTCAATTAATCCTTCATTGAAGCTTATGTGTGAATTTCGGTACTAGAAAAACCTACACAAACCAGTGAAACCTTTCCATTAGCTAATATTATAGAGTTACAAACTTATGTGACTTTAAAGGTGACATATTATGCCCCTTTTTACAATATGTAATTTAAGTCTCAGGAGTTCCCAGAATGTAACTGTGAAGTTTTAGATCAAAATATCCCACAGATAATTTATTATATCATTTTGAAAATGCCTATTATGGGCCCTATCATACACCCGGTGCAATGCGGCACAAGGCGCGGCACAAGTGTTTTTGCTAGTTTCAGCCCCACACAGTTCTCATTTTCTCGTCCGGCGCCTCGTTGTTTAAATAGCAAATGCATTTGCGCCCATTTGTGCGCTCATGGGCGTGCTGGTCTAAAAAAGAGGTGTGTTCAGGCCAAGCGGCAACCTCCCGCTCTCTCTCGTGAAGCCAACAAGGAAGTGACTTAAACTGTAATTCATCAACTGGCCGCTAGAGGCTGGCTGCAAAAGGGAATCAATCCCATAGACTCCCCATGTTAAAATGGGGACAGCCGCTGCTGTCACCACTGTCGAGCTAGGTGGGCGTGGTTTCAGCAACAAGCTCCCGCCTCTTTGCCCATTTTCGATTATCCGGGAGTGACGCGCGGTGACGCGCTGCCAAGATGGCAATGGCCGCCTCCGCCCACTTTTGAGCTTCAAAAATGCTCTTTGGAAATCTACGGGTGACGTCACGGACACTACGTCCATGTTTTTATACAGTCTATGGTTCAGGCGCATTGTTGGCGCGTTGCTATTTTGAGGAACTGAAAATAGACTTCGCCATTGACCAACTCAAACCTGGTCTAAAGTTTGGTGCAATATTTTTCTTTGTTATTTAAAGAGTTAGTAATATGCGCCTATAGGCGGGTGGCGCATACACTTTGCTTATTACACACACAGGGACGCGCAGCAGCACAAAAAAAATTTTCAAAATGAAAAATTACATTCCGCCATGTAAATAGCGAACCCGCCATGGCGCAAGCGCAACTGGCTTTTGAAGGGGATGGGAGATGAGACTCTGATTGGTTTATTGCACGTTACACCCAAAAAACACCCATTACTCATTAAGAGAATAGGGACAACCCTTTAGACTATGCGCCTTTCCGGTCGTTAAACTAGCAAAAGTGGATTCGGATACACCCTAAGTGCACTTGTGCCATGCACTTTAGACCATGCACTTAGATCGTTAAAATATGGCCCTATAAGTTGCTTGCTAATTTCACTTGGATGAAATGAAACATTCAGCACATTTTCCATTTGCTCTTAAAATCCCAAATACTTAAAAGGAATAAATCAGCCGATGTAACATATGTAATACTTGAATAATTGACTTAAGAAATACAGTTATTTATTTATAAAAAATAAACAAATATTTTCTGTGAAATTCAGTAATTAAGTTAATTCTGTAAAAGTAGTTATACCATTATAATCTTGCCTGCTGAAAAAAAAACAATAGAACCTCTCCCAAAACACAATAAAAAATGTAATGGATTTCAGGGTTATAATGGGAATTGTATTGGTTTTAATGTAAACTATAGTGGTGTCTATTTGATGGATTCTATTGGTGGGATGTAATCTGGCAGATGGCAACCAATAGAACAACAGTAATTCCTATTGGAATAATGCCCAAAACAAAAAGGAATTTTGTAATGGTTTAATGGAAACTATAAGAATTTCTGTGATAGTTTCTATTGTTTTTTCTCAGCAGGGTAATGATACCCATACTGTGCTGCGCATTATTGGCAATATTGAGCTGAAGCTTGACTAGACTTAAAATCGCAAATCAAACCGCAATCGCAATATCTGTCAAAAAAATCGCAATTTGATATTTTCCCCCAAATCGCACAGCCCTACTTTAGACCATGCGCTTAGATTGTTAAAGTTTTATTGTATCCTCATAATAATTCAATATGAATCAATTTTATTTAAAGACACTAAATATTTTTCTTAAGCTTAAAATTAATAGGAAATCAAAAAGTATGAGGAATTTAATTCTTAAAACTGTTTCATGAATCCAGTCCCAGGACTCCGACATAAAGCCGACTGGACTTTACTGCACAGCTACTTACCAAATAAATAATACAAATTAAATATTTGATTTCAAAATGGTGCAGAGTGATACGATAGACATAACACTAAGAAATCAGTGTCCTAGGACAATGATTAATAATATAGTTTTGAAGCCAACATACAAAATATTTTAACACAAAATGCCACATTTGACCAATCAGAATCAACTATTCCAAAGAGTCATTTAATAAATTGTATACTATAGTAATTGTATGTCCAGTCTAGTCGTTGAGGGATGCAGTCGCTATGACTACTCACACTACTGAGCATCTTCATCTCCAGTAGCTTCTGCAGGTACTCCTGCAACGGGGTCGGAGAGTCCGGTTCCTCCAGGAACCAGCGGAGCGAACCCACCGACCGCCGTCTGTTCAAGAAATCATACAGCTCTTCATGCATCATCATGAGCGTAACACACAAAAACAGTGCAGCCTGAGAAAATATTATGAGAAACTAAAAAATAGTTACAATTACACGGACAGATCAACAAAACGTCTAAAGAGTTGAGATGAAGGGAAAGAAATGAGTTTCAGCTCTAAGCCACTGTGGAATGTGGCCGATTACCCATCATGCACTGGGAGATTAACTTTGCTTGATGCCGTTTTTGTTATTAAGCTGATTACCTTGTGAAATTGCATCAACAATGCACTTTCATTCCCACACACCTCCAAAAACCCAATCCCCAAACTGATTTGTGCAACTCAAACACACTTCACTCATTGTTGAAATTCCAGCTTTTATCCATTTTGTATTCCAGCCTAATGATACTTTTTATTACGTTACATAAGACAAGTTCCGACTTCATCTCTGAGGATCTTAAAACCGAGATTTTCACAGGTAATGAAACTCAGAAATGAAACTATGAAGATGTTGTGGGTCATGGCGTGATATTACACACTACCAGTCAAAAGTTTAGAATAATAACCATTTTTGAAGTCCCTTCTGCTCACCAAGGCTGCATTTATTTCATCAAACATACAATAAAAACAGTAATATTGTGAAATATTATTACAATTTTAAAAATATAAATGTTGTTTCTTTGGAATAAAATGCAACAAATCACAAATAATATGACCATATACATGCACTGATAAAGTGAATAGTGTCAATTCTAATGTCATGTTGACATCAAGTCAATTAAATAGTTTAAATTCACACACACAGATCCTGTGGCTGAAATTGCACCCTGCCATGACCAACTGACAAATGTTATTGATCATTCACATTCAGTCCACACACACACACACACACACACACACCCCTTGCTCTCTCTAATGGCGTGATATTACACACTACCAGTCAAAAGTTTAGAATAATAACCATTTTTGAAGTCCCTTCTGCTCACCAAGGCTGCATTTATTTCATCAAACATACAATAAAAACAGTAATATTGTGAAATATTATTACAATTTTAAAAAAGTGTTTTCTATTTGAATATATTTGAAATGTAATTTATTCCTGTGATGCAAAACTGAATTTTCAGCATCATATTAACCACAGCTGTTTTCAACATTGATAATAATCAGAAATGTTTCTTGAGCAGTAAAACAGCATATTAGAATGATTTCTGAAGGATCATGTGACACTGAAGACTGGAGTTCAACTTTGCATCACAGGAATTAATTGCATTTTAAAATACATTCAAACAGAAAACAGGTCTGTTAAATTGTAATAATATTTCACACTATTACTTTTTCCTTGCCTTGGTGAGCATGAAAAACTCAATAGCTTAATATGTCAATAAAATATACAAAGTCTCTTCCTGTCTAAGCGGGCAGTTCTTGGCCAGAAAAAGCTTCAAATTGGCTTCAAACTTTGACAGTGAAAAGTCTGGCTTGGCAGGACTAGAAGTGACCAGACTTTATGGATTTGGTCTGTCGGCATGCAGATAGCTGGTATCTGTCCTGTCGTCTTCTGGCTTGCCTCTGAAAATACATCCGTATTGAAGGTTGCCCGGCCTTCAGAAAATACAAACAGACAGACAGCTGTTGGAGCATAGTGCACATTTATGTGTGTTTCTTTAACAGTATCATGCTCAGGGAAAACACAGCATGCTTGAATGTGTGTGTGCGAGTGTGTTTAATAGTGACAGAGAAAGTATACCGGGTATGTGAGGTATGTGTGCCAGCGGAAATCTGATACACACTCACCCACACACGCGCAGCTCCATGTGCCAAATACACAGGCACTTTAAAACTTCCTACATGTGTTCTGAACTATTAAAAGGTGAAGAACTTCAATTCAAGGTTTGAAACTCATTTTACTTCCATAATGTGACAGAATTCCAAATCAAACAGGATATTCAATGAGAATTCCTTTGAGAATTGATTGGATGGATCTCTGCATGAAAAGGCAGTTTGGGGGGAGGGGCTAAAACATAAGGGGGCTCGATGATGTCAGCGGAAAAGGAAAGTCGTTTCAGTTAGTAACGGAAGATTCTGAAGACAAACCAGTGTTATTATTGTTAGCGAGAACTAAACCTAAATTAAAAAAAAAAAAATTATTATCTGAAATAAAAATAAAACAACTAAGGAAAAAACGAACTATACTTACTAAAACTCCCAAACTAAACAAAACTGAAATAAAAATGGCCACAATTTATTATACATTTAGAAAGTTAGTATATAAAACTTGAAACCTTTACTTTTCACTTATAAAATGAAAATGTCACAAGATAGTGTTGTGAGAAATTGAACGTTAAATAAACATTTTCAAATGATACCATTCAGTGTTTTAACTAAAATACTAAAACCAAACTAAAAATTACATTTATTGAAACTAAAATCTTACCAAAAAATAAAATAAAATGAAATAAAATTAGAAGGAATTCTAAACTAAATTAAAAAGACAAATGTAAAATAATATATAAAAAAGTAATTAAATTTTAAT